TTTACATCAGTTCTGACGGACATTAACAGCAATTTAAAAAGAAGCTAATCTTAACAATGTACATATGATTTAACCCAACTAACAGGCCTTGCTTATACTACAATTTCCTTTTTAAAAAACATCTCACTATTGCTATCATTTCTACTTCTAAAAATGACAGTATTAGGGAGGAAGCAATTTGGGTAATAGCGTCAAAAAGAATAGTAATGAACCACTAGTAGAGGGTGTTCACTAATGGAGCTGCCATTTTTTACACTTGCTCTCGAAGAATAATTGTAAGTTCTCTTTACAGTCTCTGTACTGGGCAAATGAACACTTGCCTATTTCATTACAACAATTCCTATGTACAGTAATGTTTTAAGTATACTATGAATTATGCACCACTGTCCCGGAAGTCCGGGAAAACATTATTGTTAACAACTTACTCTATAAACTAAGTTTCAGTCATGTTTAATTGCATGTTTATTCTGATTTTTATTCCTACACAAGTAGAGAGAGAAGGAATTACTTCTTGGCAAGTTAACCAAATAAACTGGTTGTAAAACCAGAACATTGCAATTAAAACAAGGCAAAGCAGGACTAGAAGGAGGTAGCTTTCAATGCAGGACGCCTCATAATTGTTTGTTTGTAAACGTTTGGTGAGGCGGAAATCAAAATGTAGTTTTTGTACTAAAGCAATCACAGCACATACCAGTTCCTTACCCAAGTTGATATAGCACAGCTAATCAGCTAATCTCATTTTCCTTAATAAAATCCATCCCATGTTCTTTCAAATCTTCAAGACAGCCTTAAAACTTCACAATCTTATTGCACAGGTCTGTATTAGAGGCTTCTTCCAGACACCATTCCCTCCATCTCACCTCCCTTCACTTGTAGCTAGTGTATACATATAGCTCTTTTTAGGACTTGGAGCATGAACTGTTTCACCTCTTTCAAGACTTGAAGGTTCTTGTTCAGAATCAGCAGATGCCAGAAGCTTTGGAAGCATTCCGACTTCTTTCTACTATCTCAGAGAAGTGACTTCGTTATTACTGCATCACTGCATCCCTGCATCCCTCCTTTCACCATACAATCCCAGGATTGCAAATGATATAGCATCAGCTGCTCTTCCCCTACAGAACGACTAGCTGGGAACCTGTTGAGTGGTTTGAGTTCAAAGCATAACATACCACAACAACAATCCTTTAAAGCAAAAAGCATCAGGAGGGACAGGTCCTACAGTGAAGAACTTGTTTCCAGGAGAATGCTGCTACTGTGGGGGTTGTGGGCGAGCAAGGGGCAGGACCAGCTGCAGAATCTGGATCTCTGAGGCCCCCCCGGCCATGGCTGTCAGTGGCACAGGAATGACCAAGGGATGTGCCAACACAACCCCATTCATCCTACACCTGCTTAGGTGGTTGCTGCAGGTGCTGTTTCTGCCACTGGCCTCACCACTGCCAGGCCCAGATCGGGGGTGCGGCTTGACCTTCAATCTTTAGCTCTAAAATGTGCAAGTGTGGCTTCCAAGAGAGAGAAAGAAATTCAGTGATTTGACTGTTCAAAGTATGGCATGGAACTAGGAAACATCTAAGAATATCCTGATAGTTTAGTGTCCTAACAGCAATACATGAATCTATCCCCCTGCTCGGTCAGTAACAAACCCAAATCCTAAACTAATCTCTCTCTCCACTTCACATAGCTAATAACCTCACCAATAATAACAATTTGTTCCGCCCACTGTAGTTCTACCGCCATACTATACATGCATCATAGTATGTAGAGACACAGGTGCTACATTAATTTTTTTTGTTGGAGCTCAGATGCATTCACATTCACCTGTGCAGGAACTGCTACTGATCAAGCTGTAAATTCAGTTGTACAAATGACACACTTTTAAGGCTACAATCTCTACAGCCTGGGCACAACTCCGTGACCTGTGAGTTAAGCCAAGCCTGTTGTAATGAAGTCTTCACAGGGCATTAGGGAATATTCCTTCAAATATATGTTGGCAGATGGAAGTAGAAGCAATGGACTTTGCTTGAGAAGAGTACAATCAGAGGAAAAAAAGTAAACAATTCTTTGTGCCAACAAGCCCCAAATCTCTCATATGATATGATGTCAGAGTCTCAATTCTCTGCATCTCTTTTAGAAGACTATTAGAAATTATGGCTACCTTATCTATTTAACCTTTCCCTAATCAGCCATAATTTAGGTCTTTTATTTTGTACTTGAGTAATCAGCCCATTGGTCCCACTGGTAGGCTGGGTTGAACACGTGCTCCAAGAAGCTATCTGCAAGCCTCTCCCCTCTCAAATCTTACTGTTTCCCACATCTCCTTTAATGGTAAGAAATCTACTGCAGAATAGAATAAAAACATATGATGGGGGAAAAAAACCCTTATTGCTGATTCTGACAAACCACAGTCATCCTCTTTAACCAATTTTTCAAGCAATCCCTAATGGGAAGTGAGAAGTCTTTTCAACCCCGTATTTTCTTATTTTAAAATCCTTCAACTCAAATGAAAATGGACAGGCTGTCTTTACAGGGTTGCCCAGTGTCATAGACTACGCACAATATTTATGTACTTGAGCTTCCATCATTTAATGTTACATCCCTTTTGAATTTCAAGTGTCAAGCAAAATCCAGTCCCTAAAATGGATTCTCTCTGCAATTACCTCTCCATGGTACTGAAGGCTAATGATGCTCAAAACACAGACTTTCCATAGCTTTCTACTTTCCTTTGACTTTTCAGCTCATGGTAAACCTGGAATTAACTCTGCCAATCATGAGACATGTAAGCAATGCAAGCCTTACCTAGCATTTTTACCATACCACTAAGAAATAAATCCCAAAGCTACTAATACTAGCTAAGGTTATGCATTTATCCATCTGACTAAAATATTTTTAATAACGGTAAAAAGTTAATGAACAAATAAAAATGGTACAGATTTAAACAGTTCAGTTTAGAGTCATGATCTTTAAAGTGCTTTTTCGTGTTTGAGTGGCCAATTATGTCAAATTCTGTAAAGACAGCAATACTCTAAGGGCCATGAAACATCAGTGTTATGCAAAGCTCCTCCTGGAGATCTGCAGAATGCAATATCAAGCCACATGGGACTGCAGCTTTTAGTATAAAGCAGTGATTCTCAACCAGGGTGCTGCAGCACCCTGGGGTGCCTTGTAATGCCTTCAAAAGGTGCTGTGGGGTGACACACAATGTTAGCACTCTTAGGCGTGCAGACAGGATTCACAGGGATTTCAAACAGGGATCCATGGTGTTAAAAACTTTCTGACCTGTTGTTGTCTTTCTGAGTTCTCTGAAACACAAGAATCACTCTATTATTTTTCTTTAGTCAAAAAATGAGTAAACACTGAAACCTGGCATTTTCCCAGTAGTGTCTCGAGTAGAGCCACTGCTGTGAAGGTAGCACACAAAAGATTCTCATGAAATGGTCTGCAAAAACATATCATCTGAAAATGACTGGCTCCATCATTTTGGGACAGATACAAACACCAGTGAATGCAAATTCAATATGCATAAGGTAAGATAAAATAAAAAGGCAGCTAATAATCTAAATACAAAGTTTGGTATCAGCATTCTATCCATAAAGATATTTTAAGATAATCACCACCAAGCTGCTGTAAAACTGAAAATATCAGTTTTGATTCATCAGCCAAGAATCTGCTTAAAGTTTTTGGCAAATTTTCAAGAACAAAAAATTATTATTAAATTTTAATCATTTTACCAGCATGGAGACCTTCATTACAAACCACTGACATATCCTGAAAATAAAATCAAACTGGTGCCAAGACACTAGACTCCCAATCCGATAAAATATTTAAGTAGATGTTGAAATTTAAGCATGCAAGGAATCCCACTGAAGCAAGGCACTCAGGCTTAAGGAAGTGTTGTGATGGTTCAGAATCCAGGTAAAGAAAACTGAATTTTGCCTGTAATCTTCATCATTGCCAATTCAAGTCTCTGTTTAAACATTTAGCATCCTTCTTAGCATGTAAAGCGTTGTTTTTCCAAGCAGACTATTAGAAACCCTGCTATCGTAAAAATGTAGGTACTGCAAAAAGCATAAACTAGGACCCAGTCAGAAAAAGGGCTCGATGGAAAAAAAGAGAAAAAAAGGACAGTTTCTCTTCCCCAATGGAGTGCTTTCTCCAATATTATTTATAGCCTTAGGCTTCCCGAGTTTAGCATTTTGTTTTCTCTACATGCAAAATAGAAAGCCAATCCCCCCTACCTTTTACTTTTGCCAGACACTTGAGAACAGCAACTTTTTTGGCATTCAGGATACACAGTTTTTCTGCCATCTTCGTAAGTGGCAAGACTGATTATGCACAGCTCTACATGGGCGATTAAAGTTTGGAAAAATAGCTTATAGCATGCCTATTTAGACAGTTCTCAGTCTCTGAAACAGTAATAATTACATCTCCAGCAGGAACTAAATGTGCAGTCCAAGAGCAAAAGCCATGAAAGGTCACAAGTCTTGATCCCTCACTCAGAACAGTCACTCAGAATAAAAATAGCCAGAACTTCCAGGTCAGGGCCCGCTGATTTGAATGAAGTGTTTCTATAGAATTTGATAAGTCTGAACAATAATTTACCATTGTAGGTGCTAAAAGAAAGATTTTTTTGGAACAGATAAGCTTTGGATTACTGTAGAAAACAATTTTATGTATTTACACTGAACACCAACCAACTTCAGAGCTTAACTATGCAACAGTTTATCAAAGCATTCTTTTAATATCAATTAACATTACTGTATAATTCCCACCAAGCTGCAGAATTCAACAGACTTGTACATGAGTATCTTGTGAACAGTATGAAGTCTTTCTTTTTTTTCAGCTCCATAATATACAAAACCTCAGTTGGGAAGTTCACAAAGCCATGCTGTAACCTTGGAAATGCATATCAAGGTTTCCAGACACATCACAAGCTCAAGCATCTTCCAGGCATTCACCACATCTGGCATTCAGTTATGGCATCTCCGTTCATTGCCATCCTACCATTCCTCCCCAATTTACATGCCACCCCTAGAGCCAGACAGACTTACTTGGGCTGTAGTGGCTGTTCTCTGTACTTTGCTAATCTAATATTCATTATGGAAACAGCCGGATTCCTTAGTACTAAACAGGTATCACTATTTCTTTTTCTATCACTGTCCAGGATAGAAGAAAAGAAATCCAGACCATCTTAATCAGTTACAAAGTTCATGCCAGGTAAAAACATACTGCAACAGCAGCATATAGTGCATGTTTGAGCCAGGGGACAATCTTCACTTGCAGATGCTGCAAAGGTGCACTCACATCTTTCACCTTTTTCCATCTTCAGTCTCAACTACTATCATTTGGTCTACTTAGAAACTCCAAGTAATGCAGAATGTGGTAACGTCTTCCGGGCTACAGCAGGCTAGAGTAAGCACATGCAGTTCACTTCTGCATGCAATTTAATCCAAAGAAGATTGCCTTTCAATATCCTTGAGGTGCTTCCCACACCTAGCAGTTAAGCTCAAATGGAAAGCACCTGCTGCCAAAATCTACATTTAGATAGTCATGGCAGCATTTACATATGTGCCTATTAATTTTAGATACCCTGCTTAAGATGACTTAAAAGTACTCAGAAACCATCAGGCCTTTTTAAGGTGACAACTTAGATGTCCAGCTATAACCATTGTTTTGCTCTGTTTAAAATAGATGAGGCCAGAAAAGACCATCCTGATTCTGTATTCATACTGTCTGCCTCTTCCCCTACATAACACAGACCATTAAAACCATATCTGCAGTTTCAACCTTTCTGGAATCTATCCCATGGGAAATCTCAGAAGGCCCGGGTTTACTGTACTATGCAAAAATGCATTTATCGCTTAGCACTTCCTTAAGTCTTGTTCTTGGTTTATTCTGATTTCTAAGGAGCCAGTCACAGTGGTATTCAACATAATAATAAACTGCTATTGCACAAAATCTCTCTTGCTTAAGTGTTATCTTATCTTTTAAAAACAGTAAACGTCTGCATGTCTGCTCTTGGTTTTTATCATCTCTAGGTGCTAGGAAGAAATTTGGAGGAGGGGTCTAGATGCCCCAAGGCAAAGAAAAAGCCAGAGGGGTTTGTTTATTTGTTTGTTAACCTTTTGTTCTGGCTAAGCCAGTAAGGCCAAGAGGAAATAGAAGTAGAAGTGAACTGCCAGGTATTGACAGAACCCAAATGAGAAGTCTGGTAGCAAATATAAAGCTCTGTGCACAGACATTTCAGAATAAGAATCTGTTGTACTGACAAAGTATATGAAGAGAGAGCTAAACACAGCTAACTTAACTCATGGTAAGAATCTTAGAATGAGTATAGAGATGTAGGGTAGGGAAAAATACAGAGAGAAATAAGAAATATGTTTGCTTAGCTGTTATTCATTATTTTGATCCTGACTTCGATCCTCGGAAATCTCTTTGAAAAAACTGTCAAGGAAGCTATCAACCACAAGCCCATAACAGGTGGGGTACTGAGAAACAACCAACATGGCTTTGTTGAGGGGATGTCATGCCTAACAAATCTTTTTACGAACGGGTAACCAACCAGCTGGACATGAGACATAAAGTTGACGTCATCTACCTAGACTTCAGCAAGGCCTTTGATACTGTATCCCAGTGTTTCTCAACCTTTTAAGTAGCAAATACCCCCTAACTTCTGAAAATTTTAATAACACTCAACACTCAATTTTCCAGGGGATTTTATATTTACAGACTAATGTGTGCCATATGTTGGAAGAAGGGCCGTGTATATAAGGCCGTGATATGACAGATGTCTGATCTGGTGTGGGTAGGGGTGCCACCTTCTATACCAGGGGTGCACAACTCAAGTATGTACCTGGGCTAGAGGTGATGTTGACCAAAGCAAAAAACTGCAACACGCTATGTCTTTATTGCAGATCATACAGAGTTCTCTAAACTTCTCTTTCAATTCGGCCTTGATTTTTTTGTCAATTTTTGTGCAAGCTGGAAAAGCCAGTGCTGAAAGACATTAAAACTCCTTTAAATCCCAGCCCCTATCAACTATAAAGCTTCCTGGCATCATGTATATGCAGATAATGAAAGACAGCTTGGACTGTCTTTTCTTCCAATGGGGTTTACAGACACACAACATGCAGCAGGATATTCAGCATCCATTCTATCAAGCCAAAAATCCCTAAGTGAAATCCAGCAAGAATAGAACAGAATAAACAATTGCATCTGCTTATTTTAAAATAATGTAATTGTAAAAATATTGTAAAGAAAAATACCTGTCATATATTAGCCCATGAACACCATATTCTCTCAACTTCTTTCTGTTCTCTGGGTCATTTGTATCATCACCCCAACAGAAAATAACTAAACCTTTAGATTTGGCCTCTTGAATAAATGATGGGTTCCTCAGCAAGTCTTCAGTGTGTGCATTAATTCCCTGAAATATTAAATGTTATTAAGAAACTATAAAATAAAGTCTACATTAAATACTCTCAAAAGGTTAGCTATTCTTGCTTCTGTTGTTTGAAGAACTGGTTTCGTAATTTAAGAAAATTAAAGAAAAAATACGAACGCACTGTTTTAAATGCATAATAAAGGACTTTCTTCTTTAGCAGACATTTAATAATCAATAGGGCTGAAATGCCTTTTTAGTACTTTGCACTAGGGCTGTGTGAAGCTTTAGTAGCTGATTTGATTCGGAGGAGATTCGGCCCAATTCGATGACTGAATCTGAATCGAATCGGGAGACCAAGTAAAAGCTCCAAATTGATTTGAAGCATCTGAATAGATTTGGAAAAAGCTTCGGAAAAGATTCGGCCAATTTGGAGATTTGGCCATAGACTAAACAGGCAGCTGACATGGCTGCCTCCAGCTGGCAAGTCTGTTGGGGTTGGGGGAGGGAAGGGGTGTGGGGGAGGAAGGAATTGGGGCTGAGACAAGCTGTCATGAGTGGGCAGAGGGGCACAGGATGCGGGTGCAGCAGCGCTGGGG